GGAATAGCTTTCCTTGCGTCATCTTGGAAGGCCGATAGCACGATCGCTAAAACCCGAATGTGAGGGCACTGCACGTATCATCCAAAACTCGAAGCTTTGGGAAACGCCAGCTCTTGGGCCGCCAGGGAACTAAGCGCATGACATTCAACAAAAACAAATCGACAACGATAAACGACCACACAACTGATAGCGATGAGAACGGTCAAAGCAATCCAACGAATTAAGACTGTCAGAACCATCAACAGATGGACAGTCCAAACGAACAACGACGATCGATCGAAACGATAATACAAATCAGACATACCAGACACTGCTGGTAAAAGAATAGGTGCATCAAAACGCACTGTTTCAAGGGAGCCTCGTATCTTGTTGATATTGTCTTGGACAGGACACAATTTGTCTTCGATGCAAGAACTGTTCACTGCACGGACCGGTGCCCTTCTCTATACTTACCAATAAGCACGCACGACGCCCGAATGTCCAAGGGTGAGAGAGAAGTCATTGTGGGGATGCTGCCAACGAAAGCATGTAACTTCAGCAGGTCGCTGCGATTCGCATGGACAACGACCGCAAAATTGCAATGTTAACCTTTTTGCCACGCGTTGAATTGAGCAAGACGGCTCCGGATCCACACGGTGAGTCATGACGAAACCCGAGTTTTGCAAATCCCATTGCCTTTACTTGCCATCGCCGAGGCACGTAGCATCCGATGCTCACCCATATGGTCTGCAGCGCATGACGTTTGACTTTGCACCGTTGTGCCGCAGTTCTCCACAGAGCCATCCAAGTCCCATTGCATGATCTGACAAGTCACACTGCAAGCAATGGCCTTCCGATAATTCCAAACCAATGCTAGAAACAACGGGCCCTGTTCCGGGCACGGACACCGTTTTGCCCAAGAATCAACTCAATGAGTTTCGGAAAAAATGTCATTCAAATTCCACAGAAGCAACGTGGGGATGTCGGGAATGGCCAATGCAATCTTCTCGCGCCGTTCGTCTGCGAAGCCTAGAACTGGTGCGCGGCCCAACTCCATCCGAGAACTCTAAAAAGCTTCGGTGAAATAAACGGTTTCTGATGAGAGTGATGCGAGCATGGTTCTGGATATCACATTGCCAGATGAGGTCCACTTATGGTGCCAATGATGGCACGATGTAAGGTCCAATCCACCGCCATGCAAACCATCGGTTTGGAGTGGAAAGGAGTGTGGGACTTCTGTACACGAGCGCAAGCACCATGATCTATTTCCCAGACTGTCAGCTCAACTGCTTTGCCATCAAACGAAACGGCGGAAACAACTTCCAAGTTCCAATCCACTGACGCGCAACTTATAACCATTGCGGAGATACCGAATTTCCTTCTGAGGCGATCAACGTGAAATAGATGAACTGACCCGTTTTGATGTAGAAACGCACAAACATCGAAAACGACTACGAACCATAACCAAATGCGGCTCTTGAAGAGCATGTCAGGTTGGTCGCAGCACGGGGCATGATTGCAGCATGACTGCATGAGCAGCGACTACACAGGTCAGAACGCAAGGATTTGATTGCCACATTCTGGAACTGCGCGAGCGCCCCAACACGCCGTCTTAGATCCGCACACGTTATATGCTCGTCTGCCCACACACGCCAAGATTGGTCAACCATAGTTGCCACCACGCGCTCCACATCATAACGGGGGCGCAGTCTCCGAGCGGACTCTTCGAAGAATTTCATCGAGCGTGCTACTGCAAACAACTGTGTACGAGAGCCCAGTTGACTGCTGCGGCCCGCTGTGCTTGCGCAGAGCTTGAAAACAACGACCGTATTGGGCACCGGGCGCAAGCCATGTCACAGGATTCGCAGGCATGAAATTAAGCCTGATCGGCAGATTGCGATATTTGAGCCTCGTGGCGATAAGAGATCGCGCCTCTCGTCTGTAAAGTGTACGCGGCACCTGTCAAATTGACGCGTTCCGCACATTCCACCTCCCCACGTTGAATATTTGGATGCATGGATGACAGGAAAAAAGAAAAAATGATTGGACAATCAAGAAATGACATGTGATAGGCAGGCCTGAATGACAAACCGGTGGTTTTCATGTTGAAAAACAAGGACCGGTCTTGAATAACTGTCCTGGGAGATGCCGTAGGGACCTAAACAGATAAAAGTAATGCCGTAAGGCCGTTGGACAGGTCCAGATGATCACGCAAAAACCCGAGAGGGGCAAACGCGAAAAACAACTCACGACGGCCTCCCAAGAACGCACCTCGGGCCCCAACGTGACTCCATTTAGGTTCCTCTGGGGCTCAGATTGGGAGGGCGGGGGATTCTGGGGCGGCGGTCCGGGGCCCGCGCAGCGGCGGCGAGGCCGCTCCTCGGGTGGCCGTCGCAGCACGTTGAGCTTATCACCGTCGTAGATGCGGCGAGTAGTGGCCTCGCCCATGTTCGAAAAAAAGATCCTTGCGATTGGGGAGCTCCTGGAGGGACCCAGCGTAGTCCATGTCCTTCGGGCGATCGCTGAAGCCGCGGGCGCGACGTCGGACCCGTTTGATGACCGACCCCCAGGCGGTAGTCGGCCGATGCTTGCCGGGCGCGCGAGACTCGAGGCGACCCCCAGCCCGCGCGGCCGCCAGAGCATGGGGCGCCCCGAGAGCCTCGAGACCTGCGATCGCGATCGCCAGCACGAGCAGCACGCGGGGCCAGATACCCAGGCAGAGCGGCACGTTCTCTGCGATGAGGGCGCCGACAGAACTCGTCACCCTGCGGCGGGGAAGTCGCGACTGAAGACGAAGTCCAACCCTCGGGGCGGCGGCCGGCCAGGCGCGCGCCCGAGGCTGCGCGGCCAAGGCCAGGCCGAATAGGGCCAGGCGGGGGGCCCAGCCACGGTGGCGCCGACATGGCGCCGTCAGCCCTGATCCCTCCCGGCGGACATGGCCTTCGCCTTGGCCTTCGATTCCGCCTTGGTGCCCCTCTCCTCGTCGTCGCCCTGCCCCTCGTACTTCTTCTCCCTCGACTCCTGCCTCTCGCGGTGCAGGCGCTCCTGCGTGCGAGTGATGCCCCGCGACTTCTGCTCCTCGGCCGCGGGCGCGCCGAACCCCGAGAGCACGGCCCGTCCACCTACGCCCCGTGGGCCGCCCCGCATCAGCCCAGGCCCCGTCGAAACTCGGGCGGCCCGGGCACCTCTCCACGGCCCAAAGGGGTCTGCAGCACCCGAGGGTCCGACGGCTCCAGCGACGCAGGGCTGAGAGGGCCCACGAGGTCGGATGTCTCAACATGGCACAGCACGCCCCGCGCATGCTTCACCTCCTGCGCCACCGAAGCATCCCACGACACCCCCAACTCCGAGACCCAGCGCACCCAGTTCGAGACGAGGTTGAGACCCGTCGAGGCGGCAGCGGTCAGCAGCTCGGGGTGCGCCTTCGGCCTCTGAAGGGCTGGCCGTCGCTGTCGATCGAGTTCAGCTTCGAGATAGCCTTCTGCACGTTCCCGACCGCGAGGACCATCCCTCCTCTCCGTCGAGCATGGCGGTCCCGAGCGCGTCGCGGCCAGCCAGCCGCTCGCGGGCGACCGCGAGGTAGACGTCCAGCTCCTCTCCGAACTCGGTCGGTCCTGGTCCGAGACGATCCAGCGAGGCACGGCGGCGCCTCGGACAGCGGTGGACACCTGGGCGCCCATGACGACCGCCAGCCCGCAGGCCTCCACCCTCAGCGCCTCGATGTCCTCGTCGCTCCACTCCCCGAGTGCGTAGACCACACCCGCAGGCCTGAGCCAGGACCGCCACTGCGCGTCGGAGGGCCTTGACCAGGTCCCCGCTGAGCTCCAAAACGAGGGCCTCGCCACCCAAGATGGCGATGACCCCGCCGCTGGGACTCGTCTGCACGAGCTACAGCCGACTAGGCCATCTGAAGTACACGTCGTCGTCGAAATTGGCACTCTCCTGAGGCTCGAGGACGTCCAGGGTGAGCTGAGCCATGTCGGCAGCGAACCAGCTCCCAAGCGCACCGCGCAGAAGCCCCGCCGCGCTCCTTCCTGTTCGAGCCCGTCGCCCTCCACGACCAGGACGGGGGGAACCGCAGCGTCCCGGCGCCGCTCCGAACAGGCCGCCGGCGCGCACCGCAGCCCAGCCGTCCGCGCCCAGCACTGCGCGAGTCCGCCCCCGCCGCGGCGGCGGCCGCCGCCCACCCGCCCAGCCCAGCCCGCCTCTGCGGGACGGACTGCACGGCGGGCCGCTGGGGCAGCCCGGCCGCACGGCCGTCAGCGGCGGCGGGCAGGAGCGGGTCCCGCGGGTGGCCGCCGGCGGCAGCGGGCGCTCTGGGCCCAAGCCGCCCGTCACCCGCCCGGCTGGGGCCTGGCGGCCACTGCGAATCTCACGCGATTGCCGCCGAGGCCGTCCGACGGCCGGCCGCTGCCCGCAGGACGACCTCTGACGGCCGGGGGCCCCTGAAGATCAGAGCTTCAGCAAAAGCGGCTTCGGCGCGAAGAGGGAGAGAGCAGCACGAGGAGAGCGGGCACGTGCGACGCACTCCTCAGCTCAGAAACTCCCGAGGCCACTCGTACAGAGGAAAAAGAGCCAGAGACACATCAGAGGAAGAGAGAGAGAGAGAGAGACAGAGTGCTGCGTGAGGAGCAGTCGTGAGGCACGGGAGGGGAAAAGAGGGACAGAGCAAACTGGACAGACATACGTATAGAGAGAGAGAAGAGAGAGAAAAAGGGAGAGAGAGAGAGGGAGAGAGAGAGAGACGGAGTGCTACGTGAGGAGCAGCCGTAATTAAGGCACGGGAGGGAAAGAGGGACCGAGCAGACTGGACAGACATACGTATAGAGAGAGAGGAGAGAGAGAAAGAGAGAGAGCGAGAGGGCCGTGGGAGGAGGGAGGAGGAGGAGGAGGAGGGCCGTGGGAGGAGGGAGGAGGGAGGAGGGAGGAGGAGGGAGGAGGAGGAGGAGGAGGAGGGAGGAGGAGGGAGAGAGAGCGAGAGAGAGAGAGAGAGAAAGACGGGGGAGGATGCAGCATCGTTCCTCCAACTTCGCGTCGTCCGCCTTCGCCGACACGGCACCCTGGGCCGAGCTGCGGCGGCCGGCAAAAGGAGCCAATATACGGATAACAACAACCTGTCAACAACAAGGAGGGCAGGGCCCCCTGTCCATAGCATCCTCCTCCTCCTCCTACTCCTCCTCCTCCTCCTCCTCCGTCCTCTTCGCTCACAATCTCTCGCTCCGCCCTCGCTCCTCCTTGCTTCGGCCCCCCTTCTGCGTCATCCCGCCCCCAATGTTCACTTGTCCTTACTGATTATCACTCATCGTCCTCCTCCTGCTCCTCGTCCTCTATCTCCTCCATATCATCCCATTACTCTCCTATCTCTCTCTCCTTTCCCTCCATCCTCCTTCCCCTCCTCCTTACATCATCCTCCTCCACCATCCTCGCATCCACCTCTTCCCCTCTCCTTCCGCTTCCCTCCGTCCTATTGCTTCCGCTTCCTCGACTGCGTCCTCGCTGCCCTCGTTGTTCACCTCCTCATCACTAGTTTGCATTGTCCGTACTCCTCCTCCTCCTCCTCCTCCTCCTCCTCATCCTTCTCCTCCTCCTCCTCATCAGCAGCATCAGCATCTTCAGCATCATCATCAGCATAACCATCAGCATCCTCATCCCCGTCGTGAACATCATGACCAACATGACCATCATGTTCATCATGATCATCATGTTCATCCTGATCATCATGGTCATCATGATCATAATCATTATCGTCATCATCATCATCATCATCATCAGCATCATCAGCACCATCATCATTATCATCAGCATCTTCATCATCCTCAGACTCAGCTTCGTCATCCTCATCATCATTGCCATACTGTGCTTCATCTGCGCATTGGGGCCGCTGGCTTGTGAGATTGTTCCCCCCCCCGACCCCTGACCCCCTCCCCAGGGGAAGGCAAGATATCGCCGCATAAAGGGCTGCGCGAACTTCGCCCGTTTGTTACGGGCACCCTTGCCAAATCGGCACTCGGCGACAGGTGAAGTTCAGCCCCCGACTGCCAACTTGCCCTGGGTAGTCGAAGCCAATCTGGCGCCAATCTGGCGGGTCCAATCTGGCAATCTGGTGCAATCTGGCGCCCGCTACAATCTGGCCAATCTGGCGACGCAACCAATCTGGCAATCTGCGAAGTGATGCACTCTGGCTCGCCCTGACAGAATAATATGAAAACATACAGCCAGACGGCCGCAAACCATACACGCGAAAGAAGGTGGCGGGCAGAAAAAAACAGATTGAGAAGGTCAGCATCAGACTGGGCTGCGCCGGACTGGCGCCGGATTAGAATTCACAGAAGACTGATGCCAGATTGGCCCCGGCGCCTCAATCCAACCTGACCGGCTGGCCTTCGACTACCCAGTTGCCAACACAGAAAGCAGAACACCCGCCCCCGGAACAAGCGCCCGGAGAAGCGAAGCCGTCCAGTGGGGCAGGGCTGCTTCGCCCACTCCGGGCCCGTTGAATTGGCACGAGCGCCCGTTGCCGGGGTCGGGGCGGCCGCTCCCCCTCCGACCACCAGAGGGGCACGCTGCCTCACCGCAGCAGGGCCCCCCCGCTGCACGGCGGGGACGCCTCGCAGAGTGGCCATCCCGCCGCTCCGGTCGGGGCCCCTGCCCGACGAGGAGGGCCCGCCTGCCTGCCCCCCCCCGTCCGACCCGAGGGGCCCTCCGCTCAAGGGGCGCCCAGCTTCGCGCTCCCGCGCTGCGCGAAGCGCGAGTAGCTTCGCGCTCTCGCGCCGCCCCCCAGGAGGAGAAGAGGAGGCCGAGGAGGAATCGGAGCCGAATCGCGAAGCGCGACTAGCATCGCGCCCTCGAAGGCGCCTCTGTTGCTGGGGGGGGCCAGGCGTGTGAAACATTTGGCTGTCCCCCTCCCCCATTTCCCCCTCCCCCAGGGTCCAACTTGGCGTTCGATGAGGGGGAAAGAGTGGGGGTTGGGGTGGGGGGGGTCACGAGCTCCTAAACGCACCCCTGGGGCCTCTGGAGCCTCCAAACCCTGGGTGCCACCTCCTCCTCCTCCTCCTCCTCCTCCTCCTCCTCCGCACCGCTCGGTGGCCAAGATGCCATCTCATCCAGCTCAAGCTGGGCTTCAGCACGCCGAGGAGAGCTCAAAACAATCAAGCCTCAAAACTGTCCAAGTGGCCTCCAGGACGCACCAAGCGTGCTCCAAGAGGACCTCCCCAAAAAACCCAAGAGGCAAACAATGGCAAATATCGTCCCCATTTTCTTGTGGACGTGTGTGTGTGTATGTGTGTGTGTGTGTGTTCAGCATGTCCGCCTCTTCGGTCTCAACGTCTAAGCCTGCTCAAGAGGCCTCCGAGATCGCTCCAAGACTACCGAAGAAACCCTCAAGATGGCCCAAGAGAGCCTCAACAGGGCCCCAAGAGTGGCCCAAGAGGGGTAGGTAGCTCGAACTGATAAATCGAGCCCTCCGCTCCAAATGGACCCCCAAGACCATCAGCAGGCGCCCAAGAAGGGCCCCAAGCGGTCCCCAAGAGGACCCAAAGATGTCCCCAAATGGTGCCCAAGAGCCCCCAAGACAACCCCAAGACCCCCAAAGGGCCCTCCCAACAATCACGACGGCCCCAGAAATGCTCACCCGTAGACTTCGTTTTTGCTCGGGTTGAAAAGCTTCAGTGTTCTTAGCACATCATTCCGATGTGCTGAAGCAAGACTGCCTCAGCCAAACAAATGCTCTGAGAACATCTCGGACAGGCCGCTAGAAGGTTTTCAGAACACAATTTGGCGGTAGGCAGGCCAGGACGCTTCGCCCTGCTTGTGTTGCAGGCTGAACTTCCCGAAGGCACTGCCGCCCCCTGTTTGCCCTCATCTCGCGAGCTCAACATATACCATTATAAGAGGGGGATGGTCTGATTTTTGTTGGGGGGTCTGATTCGACTTGTTTTGGAGGGCTCCAGTATGCTCCAGTGAGGTCTGGGCAACAGGCCACCCTTTCATGGATGGTCTGGGTGGGGTCTAAAACTGCTCGTCTGGGAGGGTTGTGGCCCCCTTCCTTTTTATTGCGAAATCTGGGATACTGACGCCGCTACTCCCCAGACCTCTGCCAGGCCCGTTCTGACGATATTATCCCGGCAAAGCAACCTAACATCGATATGTAGAAGCATAGCTGGAGGCATGCAGCAGCAGTAACAGTCACAGTAGTAGTAGTAGCAATAAGAGTAGGAGAGATGAAACAGTGGTAACAGTGAAGTAGTAGTTGTAGTTGGCGGGAGTGAACGAGTGAAGTGTAGTAGTAGTAGTGGGTGTAGTACAGTTGGCTCCGGACATTCAGAATGTGGCCCGGGAATGGAGTTCTGGGAGGTCGAAGAGCACGAAGTGTGTGACTGTTTGCGAAAAACGAGGTTCCGCGGATCCCCCCCGGAAATCCCCAACGGCTCCCCAACGGCTGCCCAGACCCCCCTGTGGAGTAATGTGCTGCTCTCTTTTTAGCCCATTAGAAACCTATCAGTCTTCGATGTTAGGTAAAATTCGAAGCGAATCTGGCCGTGGCGGCGAGGGATCCCAGGAGTCCCCCAAAATAGTCAAAGCGAGGCACTTGCAGCGGTATCCGTAATTACCTCTTTCTCAGAAGAAGAGTGACAACATAAACATAAACTTTCGACGGTCCGCGCGGATTTCTTCGATCTGCGCTGAACCCTCCTCCTTGGCACGCGAAGCGCGCCAGGGGCAGCGCCCGAGGCGCCGTCAGGGAGTTCTAGCGCAAATCCAAGAAAACCGCGCGGAGCTCCAAACGTTTATGTTTGTGCCGCCTTTTCTTCTTCTATATCGGCAACACGCAAGAGTGACCCCCGGCAAGAGTGACCTTTGGTGCGCGACTTTCGGGGGGCGCGGGGAAACCCAACCCGAACGTGCAAGCCGCTGTTGTCGCATCGCATTCGGCCACCTGGAGACCCCGGTGTGCCCGCACGAAAATTCACTCCGGCAAAATCGGGAGCGGCTAAGAGCCAAGAGGGGGGCGTCCAAGAGGGGGGGCGCAGATCGTGGCCGGCGGCACGTGCGCGGCCCAGGGCGGGGGCGGCCGGGGACGCAATAAAAGGAGAAGAGGCGCCATGAAATCTGGGGAGATCTCATGGCCCACGCCATGATAGTCACCCCCCTAGTCATCGCCCCCCGCTTGATGAGCAGGGACCGACCGTCTCGGCATTTTTATATAGGCCTACCACGAATTTTTTTAGAACCCAGAAATGTTTGAAGAACAAAAACAATTCTCTTAGAACATAAGCCCGACGTGCTAACATAAAACAGTTCCAGCCAGAAATATTCTAAGAACAGTTCGTGCCAATCACAAAAAGGTTCTTGGAACATTCTTCCGTAGGCCTATAGGCGAGGCAGGACGCTTCGCCGCTGCATGATCTTGGCCGCCCCCGAGTGCAGCCGACGGTATTCCTCCTCTGACCACCTGCTTCCTCGAGGTGCGGCCGCGCGCTCTTCTTCCCCCCGCCGCTGCCGCAAGCGGCGGCCGAGGCTGCGGCGGCCGCCTCGCAGAAACGGCATGCCCGTGGCGTGCCCGAGGCCGAATCCAGCCGGGCTGGTGCTGCTGATGGGCCTGCTTTCCACCGCCGCCACCACCACCACAAGTTGGAGGGGGGAGGGGGTCCTCCTCCCCCTCCTCTTCTTCTTCTTCCTCCTCCTCCTCCTCCTCCTCCTCCTCCTCCACCTCCTCCTCCTCCATCTACTTCCCCCCCTCCAACTCATGGTGATGGTGGTGGAAAACGGTCAGCTGCGTTGGCGCGGGCGTGCCCGTCGTGCTCGGGGGCGACGGCGTGGCATGCGCGGGCGCACGGATGAGGGGCAACGGTAGGGGGGGATAGGCTCGGGGGGGGGGGGGCATCGAGCTGGAATCGGCGGTACATCGCCGACGTGGGCCTGATGGCCCCACCCCGCCCAGGATCCTATCGCCGATCCATCGGCATTGTATCGCCGACTCCAGCTCGATGTTTCCCCCCCTGGACCCATGCGCCCCTATCGCTGCCCCTGGACAGAGGCGCCTGATGCACGCCGTGGTCGTGCCACGGCGGTGGCCAGCAGGTCGCGGCGTGCATGGCCGCGGCCGGGGCAGCACACGCAGCGCAGCCACGGAGGGCCCAGGACAGAGGCGCTCCGAGCTCAGGGGCAATGGTAGGTGGGGACTGGCTCATCGGGGGGAACGGGGCTGGGCTATCAGACCCCTATCGAAAATCAATGGGCGAGCGGGGGGGGTCGATGCAGTCCCCCCTGAGTCTATCCCCCGCTGTCGGCGCTCCCTGGCTTCGGGCCATAACTCGGCTCTTCGGCGGCCGTTCGGGACGATCCGGGCACCCTCGGAACGCCCTCGGCGAGGCGCAGCCGCTGGAAACCATCCCGAGGCAATCGCGCCGAGAACCCACAAACTCGCCCGACAGCCTCGAACCTCGAACCTCGGTGAGCCCATCCCCCCCCTATCGTTGCCCCACCCGAGTTGCCTCGCCCATCCACCGAGAGGCCCCCGTGGTGCACGTTGGCGGTGCGGAGCGAGGGGGGAGGGCTTCTTAGAAAAAGGCTGCTTCTTAGAAGGCGCATGCCTTACATCCGTAGGTCAGGCCCGCGCCTTCTAAGAGGCAGGGGGTGCCCCCTGAAAAAGAAGCCCTCCCCCCTCCCCCCCCCACCTCCTCCCCCCTGCGCGTGGCCGAGTGGTGCGCGGGCGCCTCCTGCGAGTCGTGGCCGTGCGCGTGGCTCTGGCGCGGTCGCGGTCGCGGCCGCGGTGGCCCCACGGCGAGCGGCCTTGCCCGCCCGGCGGCCGAGTGGGCCTCGGGCCTCTGAGCGGTCTCGCCTCGCGGCGCTCGGGTCAGGTCACTGAGACTCGGCCACGCGCAGAGGGGGGGGGCAGGGGGGAGGGTGGAGGGCTTCTTAGAGAGGCACCCCCTGCTTCTTAGAAGGCGCGGGCCTTATCTATAGATTTAAGGCCGCCGCCTTCTGGGAAGCAGCCCCTCCTTCTAAGAAGCCTTCGCCCCTCCCCCTACCCTTAGGTCGGGCATGTCAGGCGGAATACGAACGAATAATAAAGACTACCTCCCAAATGCTCCAAAAATGCAAGTCGAAACACCGTCCCCAGACTATGTTTTGACTATGTTTGAACATTCCCCCTGTAGAGGGACAGGCCCGACCCAACCCTACCCCCCTCTGCGCGTGGCCGAGAGACGGACACAACCCATAGCAAGGATGGCAGGGGAAGGATGCAGATGTTCCCCTCACATTCAGGGCTCCTTGGACGTCAGCGCTGGCTCGGGGCGGGCCGAAGAAGCAGGGGTGCAAGGGCAGCCGCGATGAAGCAGCGCACCCCTGCTGTGGGCTGTGACTGTGCGGCGAGGTGGTCGGCGAGGCCACCCCGAGGCAGAGGAGGAGGATCGAGGAGGAGGAGGAGGAGGAGGAGGAGGATCGAGGAGGAGGATCGAGGAGGAGGAGGAGGAGGAGGGAGATACCCAGGCCCGACCACCTCCTCCGCGAAAAGAGGCACCGCGCGCACGGCGCCCGGGGTGGCCAGGTTCAGCACGGGGGTGGCCCTCGAGGCGCTGCGCACCCCCTGCAGGTCAGGTCCAGTCCTCGAGGGCGGCGGCAGCTGCACCCCGATACCGACCTGGGCCAGGCCGCTCTCGAGCCCCAGACTTTCAAAGGTCGGGCATGTCCTCCTACAGGCGGATTCTGGACAACAAATAAAAGATGCCCCCCCAAAATGCCCCCCGATAGCCAAAACATACCAGAAACATCGTCCCCAGACGATTTTTGGACACGCCTCCTGTGGAGGGACACGCCCGGCTGAACCCCAGACATCCCGGTCACCCACCTTCGCGCTCGCTCTCGCGCCCAGGCGCCGCCCCCCTGGAGAAGGGCAACCACTCTGACTCAGGCCACGGCGCGCGAAGCGCGGTCGTCTTCGAGCCCCTGGGGGGACCTGCGACGTTCGACAATGTGATGTCTTCAGTCTGGGCTCGTGTTGCCCCCATCGTACTTGAGGACCACATCCCAGAACAATTGTCGAGCACCCAGAAGAATATCGAAACGGTGTCAAAAGAGTATCGCCTCCCAGGGCTCGACAAGTGAAAACCTTCAAGTTTCTGTACTTTCATGATGCTCGAAATCATCTCTGGTGATCAAGGCCAGTGGGTCGGAACAGCATAAGCCTGAGCATTCTTCCTTGACTTCGGCCATCGGGGGCCGTCTTCGAGCCCCTGGACCATCAAGCACGAGCCCGGGACGAAAAAAAAAACTGCCCCTGGAGAGAAGAGAGGACCTCGGGGGAGTCGCGGAAAGACGAGAAGCGGCGAGCCGCGGGCCGAGGGCACTGCAAATACGGCAGGTTCGTGTCGTGTCGACCCCGGCGTTGGTTCCTGACATCGTTCAAACTTGAACGATCGGCCGTTCCCGAGACGTCCAACTGCGTTCCACATCGAACGATTCTGGATGGCCCGCGGCGTTCAACGTTGAACGCCGCTGGCGGGGTCGCCGCCGGTCGACACGACACGAACCTACCCTACACTCGCCCCCCCTCCGGCGCTGTGAGTGTCGCGAGCGCCTGCAGCGAGGCGGGAAGCGCCACGCGCTAATGCGCCCGTGCGGTGCACATACGCAGACAGATCTTCCCTCTGCACGTCGCCGCCAATGGCGGACGTCGGGCGCCCGGGGCCCGTGCCTGCGTCCTCTCTCCCCGGCCTTGCCGGGACGGTGCGCACGCCGATCCCGGGCCCAGAAGTAGGTCGGGCACGTCCCCCCTGCAGGCGGATCTCGGACGAAAAATAAGAAATAGTCGAAACGTACTCCAAATATGGCCAAATACTATTTCTGAGTATTACTCCTGTAGAGGGGCAGGCCCGACTTCACACACGACCCTCCCGAGGGCCACATCGCCATGGGAATGTGAGAGGCAGGGGTCGCGAGACAGAGGGCACAAGGGTACCCTTGATTCGGCAGGGGCGACCTGCTGATCAGAGCCGACTGTACGCCCCGATGCCGCTGCTCCTGGACCCTCTCCTGGGGCGCGCTCTGACCAGGCCTCCGCGGCAGATCCAGCCGTGGCGACCAGGCCATTCCACGAAAGGGCAGCGGCATCGGCACCTCCCCAGACACAAGGACTTTCTCCTGGACTCAACGCGTGTACAATAGATGCGTGCTGCCAACACGGCCCCTTACGGGGCCTCTGAGGCTAAAAACGGCTGCGGAGTTTGGGAAGCCTTGCCGCAAGCCCGTCTCTCCCGCCTGTGCTACACTGCGTATGCAACTACGTGCGTCGCTATGGCCCCCCCGGACGTCCCGCCCCTTGCCTTAGGTCGGGCGTGTCCCTCTACAGGCGGATTTTGCGCGAAGAATTAAAAATATATCCCCCAAAATACCTCCAAATAGTCAACTAATAGCCAAAACAGAATCCCCAGACTGTTGTTGGACTATTTTTGAATATTCCTCCTGTAGAGGGACAGGCCCGACGCCACCCTTGCCCAAGGATGACCTCTCACCCCGAGCCTTGCTTGACGCTCCCCCGAGGCCCAGCGAGGCCCCTATGGAGGCCCAAAGATTTTCTGGAACCGTCCGTCGTGATCGTTTCGCGAGGCGAGCATGTCTGGGCCTTCTTCCGGTGGAGGCCCCCCCTGGTGGAGCCCGATTCCCCGAGGCCCAGCGAGGCCCCTAATTATGGAGGCCCAGAGACTGTCCAGAACCGTCAACCGTGATCGTTCCCGCGAGGCGAGCACGTCTGGGCCTTCTTCTGGTAGAGGCCTCCCAGGTGGGGCCCGAGCAGATGGGGTCGGCTAGAGCTCCCAACTTCGCGCTTAGCGCTCCGCGAAGCGCGAAAAACTTCGCACTCTCGCGCCGCCCCCAAAGGGGGAAAAGAAGGACGAGGAGGAGGGGGAGAAGGAACGAGGACCGCGAAGCGCGAATAACTTCGCGCCCTCGTGGGAGCCCTTGTAGATGGGGTCGGAGGATCGCGCCGCATCGCCGATGCATCGGCGATGCATCGGCGACGTCGGCGATGCATCGGAGACGTCGGCGCAGAGAAAATCGGACTCTACGTCGAGCCGCATCGCCGATGCATCGCCGACGCATCGGCGATGCGGCGCGACCCTCCGGCCCCTATCTACTCGGACCCCATCTGGGAGGCCTGGATCTGTCGGCGACTCCAGAGGGTGTGGTCTGCAGTGGGTGCGGTTTGCAACCCGCATCCCTTGGGGCGGGCGCGGACCTCGACAAAGTTCTCCGCCGCGCCCCGACGAGGCCAGACGCGGGCAACGTGGTGCCCGCCAAACCCCAACGACGCAGATTGCAAGCCACACCCCAGCGCAACCACACCCTCTGTAGTCCCCGAGTGTGAAGGGTGGGACCCGCCAGCATCGGTGCTGGATGTTCAGCCGGCGTCTCTGGAGGAAGAGAAATCGCTATAAACATTAAACTTTGGGAGGTCCCTGCGGATTTCTTGGATCCGCGCTGGCCCCCCCTCCCTCCTGGGCGCGCGGAGCGCGCCAGGGGCGGCGCCAGAGGCGTCGCCAGTGGGGGCCCAGCGCCGATCCGAGCGCTCCGCGCGAACCGTCGAAAGTCTATGTTTGTGCCGTGGTTTCTCCTTCGAGTCTCGCCCGAGTCCTCGTTGAACTCGTCCGCCTCGTCCAGGCACGAGAACCGCGGCACCCTCTGCGGCGCAGCCGCGGTGGCCCCGGCGGGGAGCGCCCGCACGCCCAGCTCCTCGCCGCGGGCGCGCCCAGGGGCTTTTCTGGGGGGAAGCTCGGGCTCGAGCTTCCAGGTTCTCGGGCGTTTTCGAGCTTAGATTTAGGTCGGGCGTGTCCCCCTGTGTCCCCCTACAGGCGGATTGTGGGCGAAAACTTTTAAAAATACCCCCAAATAGTCAAACAATCATCAAACAAATAGCCCCCAGACTATTTTTTGACTACTTTTGAATAATAATCCCCCTGTAGAGGGACAGGCCTGACTCAAGCGTAGATATCAGCGGTTCGAGGTTCGCTTTTTTCTGGAGGTCTTTGATCGTCCTGGGGCGCCCTCGTGGGTACGGCTGGATCCGCCTCGAAACTCTAATCGGAACGCACCCCTAGAGAGGTCCAGTGATCGATCTTCGAAGCCCGATCCTGGGCAACGGAGGACCTGCTCGAGGTTCGAGGTTTGTCGGTTCTCGGTCGCTGCCCATGCTCAAAATGCGTTCCCGCAGCTGCGCCTCGCCGGGAGGCGTCTCGGGCTGCCCGGATCTTCCCGAACGGCCGCCAGATATCTGAGTTATGATAGCCCGAAAGCCACACGACGATCATTGAGGGCGCAGACCTTCTCAAAAGCGGCGGGGCTTCTGAGAAGCCCGCGCGCCTTCTGAGAGGCCGTCTGCGTCTTCGGAGGAGGCTCAACGATGTTCTCGGGAGGCCAGAGGACTTCTGAGCCTTCTGGAGCCCCCTTCCTTCTTATTCGCGGTAACGCTCGCGACCGGCCCTGGCCCCCCCCAATCCACCCCTGGTCACATCATGGTTCGTGATGGCGCCATCTGGGAATGCCGGATAATGGCTCGTCCCGGGACGAGGCGTGACGCGACCAGCCCCCCCAGTCACGTTCCTTGGCAGGCCCGCCCTCACTGCCGATTCCGCTTCATTTCGTCCGGATTTCAGTTCATCCTGCTCGATTCGTCCTGTTCGATTCGCCCGCTTCGGTTCGCCCGCCTGGAGAGGCGGACGAAACGAAGGAAGGCGACACGAGACGAAAAAAGACGAATCGAGATCAAAGCCCACCCCACTGCCTCCCAGACAGCTGGCCGCTCCAATTTTTTCGACGCCTCGGCCCCAGAAGTCTGGACCACTTCTCTAAGGCCGGGGTTTCGTCCCGAACCGTTTTTTGACAGCCCCGAGGCCCAGCGATCTCCCCTGGTGGCCGAAAACGCCGCCGCCGCCGCCTCCTCCTCCTCCTCCTCCTCCTCCTCCTCCTCCTCCTCCTCCCCCCTCCTCCTCCTCCTCCTCTCCTCCTCTCCTCCTCCCTCCGCCTCCGCCTCCGCTCCGCCTCCGCCTCCGCCTCCTCCTCCTCCTCTCCTCCCTCCTCCCTCCTCCCTCCTCCTCCTCCCTCCTCCCTCCTCCCCTCCTCCCTCCCCCCTCCTCCCTCCTCCCTCCTCCTCCTCCTCCTCCTCCTCCTCCTCCTCCTCCTCCTCCTCCTCCTCCTCCTCCTCCTCCTCCTCCTCCTCCTCCTCCTCCTCCTCCTCCTCCTCCTCCTCCTCCTCCTCCTCCTCCTCCTCCCCCTCCCCCCTCCTCCTCCTCCTCCTCCCCCTCCTCCCTCCTCCCTCCTCCCTCCTCCCCCTCCCTCCCTCCTCCCTCCTCCCTCCTCCTCCTCCTCCTCCTCCTCCTCCTCCTCCTCCTCCCTCCTCCTCCTCCTCCTCCTCCTCCTCCTCCTCCTCATCATCATCATCATCATCATCATCACCACCATCACCATCATCAACATCATCATCGTCATCATCATCACCATCATCATCATCGCACATGCGTGCGTGCCTGGGGCATTCGCACACCAATCAACTAGGCAAAGCAACCTCTAGCCTCGTACAGCGGCACCTCGAGACAGTAGCCCTCGGACGACGAACGGAGTACAGGTAGAGGAACACACTGACGCACATGTGGTGGAAGACGTAGGAGCGCCAGGAATGCGAAGGATAATGCCAGGAAGAGCTTCTGCAACAGGAGGCTGCAGAACAAGACGGGATCAGGCCGCATAGGCCCCCGTGCTCGCCGAGCAAAACGCGAATTCACAGTTCATCCAACACGAACGCCTCCTCGGTCCACCTATTGTCGTACTCGTTCAGCAGTCGCACAAAGCCGATGATGGGAACGGCCAGCATCAGCACGCTCAAAGCTCACCGAGCCGCAGCCACCGCCAGCCTGCACCACACCCAGCGGCGCCTCCGCGGCCCCAGCGGCGGACAATCACCCCCATATGGGCCCGATCAGGGCCTCCGCCCACGGCCACTGGCACTGTCTGCGGCTCCCTGAGCTCCTCCTTCTGAGGCTCCTCGGGACCCTCGGCGTCCATGGGGACGAAGAGAGCCATGCCCCGGTAGCTCAGGGACTCCCACGAACAGCTGGAGAAGACCACAGCACCGCACGTGCACACAAGGCCTGAGCATGGCGGCAAGGCCCCCAGGAGCCAGCAGCAGGCACGAAGATCGGGGCGTCGGCGTTCTCGGGGAACCTGAGCTGCTCAGGTGACGGGGAGCGCCTCCTCGCCTCCAGCCGAGCTCCGTGCTGCGCCCGACGCAGCTGGGCGGCCGAGGAATGCTCCACGTCGATGTCCTTAGCGTCGGAGTGCAGCGCGACGTTCCTGCGCAGCACGTCGAGCCACTTCGGCTCCTCACCGTTGACAAGGGCCAAGACAGCAGGAACAACAGCCCGAAGTCGTGACCCAACCTCCGAGCTCCCTACGATGAGCGAGAGAGCCTCCTCAGCCAGCTGTAATTGGCATGCGAGCTGGTCTGTTTGATAAGCAAGGCGTTGAACGAGGCGATCAGCTGATACACGTGCTCACGACCTCCGTGAAGCACGAGACAAACAGATGGTGCCTCTCGATGGGGCACCTCCCGCAGCCACTTCCACGCCAGAGACTGCCCCACCGCCGCCGCCGCAAGACATGAGGCCTAGCGAGCTTGAGCAATAGGGCTGTCATCCGCTGGTGGATGGCATGAGCCAAAATGGCTACGGACCTCCCTCCTCCTCCTCCTCCTCCTCCTCCTCCTCCTCCGCCTCTCCACTTCTGTGGGGGGGAGCGCGTCGGATCTCTGCGGGCGACCTCCGGGTGCCCTTCTTCCCCCGGGGCGCGCCGCCGCTCCTCGCCAGAGGCCCCTCCGAAGAGCTCCCGCGCGGCCAGGGCGCCCGAGGCGGCGCAGAGGGCCGGAGGGGGGCCCAGGCCGAGACGTCGGCGGCCCGCCCGGGGCGTGCGCGTGCTCTCGGGGCCTCCGGGGGGAGGCTCGTCGCCGCGGCCGGGTTTCGGTCGGGCGTGTCCTCCTACGGGCGGATGTCAGCCACGCGCACAAGGGGGGGTGGGGGGGAGGGGGGAGGCTTTCTCAGAAGTTTAGAGGCACCACTCCTTCTTAGAAGGCGCGGGCCTTGTCTATAGATGTAAGGCCGGCGCCTTCTAAGAAATTGCCTCCTTCTAAGAAGCCCTCCCCCCTCCCCCCACCCCCTTGTGCGCGCCACCAAGGATTTTCAGCGAAAGTTGAAACATAGTCAAAACATGTTCAAAAACAATTTAAAATAATCGAATAATCGTCCCCAAGTTTCTTTTTGTTCCCCTATTCTGGATGCTCCTCCTGTAGATGGACGTGCCCGCCTTAAGGCCTGATCTTCGGACGCCCGGAATTCGGCGGCGAGCGAGGTGGGGGGAGGTGAAGAGGAGAAGGCCTTCCCAGAAGGCGGCGGGGCTTCTCAGAAGGCCTCTGGCCTTCTGGGAGGGGACCTGTGCATGCGGGGAAGGCTTGGAACACTTCTCCGAAAGCTGGGGGACTTCCGAGCCTTCTGAGAAGGCTCGCCCCGACTCGCTTCCCCCGCCTGTACGGAAAACATGCGATGCCCAAAAACAAATGTTGTCCAAAACCGACTGCGACCGCGGTTGGGCAAACGGCCGCGGGTCTCAAATGGACAACGTCCGCGGCGACACCAACATCAGGCCCTGTTCAAAACGACACGGAAATGCTGTCGATCTTCGAACCCATGTTTTCCGTACCCCTTCCGGTCGTACCGAAGATCCGCTTCGAATAATGGGAGGGATCTGGCCCTGACTCCAGGTCCACCGCGCTTTCGTTGATGCTCCGACTTGAATTTGTGTCGAAAGTGCACCCCAAACGGTGCCAAACAAAAAATGGGGTGGAAATCGGCGCCTCAGAAAATCGGGAGGAGACTTCTGCAGTGGTATGGCGGAAAGAGCGACAACGAAATAAGGCGGAAATTGGCATCTAAGGAGCTTGAACCCAAAACGTAGATTTCCGCTATATCAACAACATCGTTCAAAATACCGCGGATCCTGAGTCAGGGCACCCCCCACGTCGTGCTTGTTCCTCACCGTGGATCCTAGGACGTCTTGACCCATTCTCCAAGCCCGGTTCTTCCATCTGAATCCTTTTGTTGACGGTCCTGGGGCCCGGCAAGGGCCCCCAGAGGCCGAAAACTACGAAAGACCTGTGCACGACGCGATTTGTCCACGACGCGAGGGGATCAAGGTTCTTCACCCACTCCAACTCCGATCACTCCCAACAACAGGATTTGAACGGATTTGGGCGGGGCGAGGACGCTTCCGCTGTCTCGGCGGGCCCTCCTCCGAGACGAGGACCGCCCCCAGCACGCTCTGCAGGCCGACGTGGCCGAAGATCAGCGCCTGCAGCGCGAATGCGTGGGCCTGGGGGGGGGCCCAGATCGCGTCTCGGAGGCAACCCCTGGGAGGTCTTCGTGAGAACGATCAAGGGATCTCAGGCCGAACTACGGAGCCATTAGGCGGGATGAAGCCCTTTGGACTGAGCCGGACGAAGCGGGCTTAAGCCAGATTGGGCGGGACAGTGTCAAATTAGACCGGCTTCAACCCGCGGATGTACCGGCTCCAATGCTGAATTTCAACCTCAAAGGGGTTGCATCCCTGACAGACCCCTCGCATCGTGACAAAATCACAACGGGAGGTTTTCGACAATGTTCGGTCTCCAGTCGGGGGCGTCCAAGAGGGGGGCGTCCAAGAGGGCGGTTCCCAGATCACTGCCCGAGGCATGTGCTCGGCCCAGGGGAGGGGGCTGGGAACGCACTGAGAGAAGACGAGGGGGCCATGATTGCCTCCACCCTAGGACGAAGCCAGGACGAGGATAAAATCGGGTGAGGATAGATCGAGAATCTCTGAGATCTGGTGGCTCTTGAGGATGTCTCGGGCGCCGCGGCCTTCTCAGAGCGTTTCGGAACGCTCCGAGAGCGTGCTGGAAGGCTCTGGAACGGAGTTATCCCCGTCCTGGCCCCGTCCGAAAGAGGGGGCCATCGCTGGGCCGCAGGACCGTCGAAAAGTGGCGTGGGCTGAGAGGCTCCGAAGCGCCTCCCCACTTGAGGGGCCGCTCCGGCACTGGGCCTCGACAGGGCTCGGGTGCTGGGAGTGGCCCTGGCCCAGGGCGCCCCCAGCGCTCGGGGTAACGAGGAGGGGGGGACCAGCTCGGGGGGGGGGGGAGCATCGGGCCAGCATCGGAGATACATCGCCAGTGGACCGACGATAGGCCACTGATAGGGAACCCTCACCTTCCTGGGCTGGGTGGGGCCATCAGAGCCATATCCCTCGGCGATCAATGAGCGACTTGAGGTCGACGCATCCCCACCTGAACCGATCCCCCCCCATCGTTCCCCTGATCTTGGGGGTCCCTGGACTGCGTCCAAGCCCGCTCCGACGCAGTACGGTCCACAATTTTTGGGCTCTGAAGACCCAGCAAGCTATGCACCGTGCTATTCCTGTGTCGAGGATCGACGACGCGCCGGGAGACGCCAACGCGGTATGGTGCACACACACAAATCATCCGCGGACTGTGGGCCCTATGAGAGGGGTGCTCCGAAGCCTTGGGGCCGCCTCAGGCCGGGGTCACCTCTGGCAGCACCCGACAGGGCAAGGCGCGACCGCTCCAGAGCGCTCCAGAACGCGCTGAGCACGCTCTGGGATGATTTATCGCCGTCCTGGCGCCCCGCCCGACAGCCCCTTGAAAATAGGCACCGGCAAAAGCACAAGGGGCTGCCTCCACCCGAGGAAGATGATCCTCCAGTTTGGCGTTACTGGTACTCTGGCCCTCTAGGAAACTCCAATATTACCACCACACCGCAGTCGGGATCGTCTTCCCTCGATGGAGGCACACCGCCGATCTAGGTCACCCAACTTCGAGCATCGTGCCCCGCGATGCGTGACGCGCGGTTATATTCGCGCCTTCGCGCTGCCCTCCCCTGGAAAAGGGCAACCACTCTGGCCGAGACTGCGACGCGCCAAGCGCGATTATCTTCGCGCCCCCGCGGGTGACCTGGGATAGTGGTTTTGGTGCCAACCTCTACCGCCCACCCATGTGGTAGGGCTGCGCATGAAAGATGCAAGGGCCTTGGAAGGCCATGTCAACACTTTTCGAGTGGGGCTGGCCAGCGAAAGTTGCCAGGGATGGGCCGAAGTGGCAGCGTCGGCGTCGGCGTCATTTTTGCCGTCGACGTAATCATCGCCGCCGTCGTTGCCGTCACCGCCGTCGTCGTTGTCACCGTCGTCGTCGCCGCCACCGTAGTCGTCCCCGCCGCCGCAGCCCATATGGCTTTGGCTGAAACATTCTGGAGAGTATCTGGGGTGTGGTCGGCAAACATCTCGAGAGGTCCTGTGAGGGCTCCAGAGGGTTCTGGGGGCATGGGGAAGGGTCACCTAGGAAAGTTACTCATCCTTACTATGCGGGTTGACTGTAGGCCTTCGACCCCCCCCCCCCAAGATCGGGCCCCGACGGCCCCGAGGCCCGCGGGAGGGCTACCTACCCGTCCGCCGAGGGGGGCGAACAACCCTCTCGCGGGTGCTCGTCCACCCCGGGGGAGGGGGGGAGGGGGGGGGGCAACAGACGTGGGGCGAAGGAACGTGCACCTTTCAGGGCTCGACCGAACAGTGCTTTGCGCTTTCGTGCACCTGTCGTGCACCTTTTGGGCCCACCTTCGGACACCTTTCGGGCAGCTGAGGGGCTATTCAGGGCCCGTTCGGGCCGCCTTGCCGTTATCCTTGATCCCACTGCGCTTATGACACCCCCCGTTGCCGTCCGCCCGACTCTAGCTTCTCGAGTGCACAGCTTGAGCCCCTCCGATGGCCGTCTCCGTCTGGATCAGCAGAGCGCCCAGCGCGGAGCGGATGTGGCGGTACCCGACGCTCATCACAGAATGAGAAGCACCGGCACAAACACGAGAGGAAGATACTATAGCATGAACATACGAGGTCGGAGCTCTGCGTGGATTTCTTGGGTCGGCGCCCCCTGGCGCACTTCGCGCGCAAGGGATGGGGGGTCCAGCGCCACCAACAACCGCCGCGCCGAGAACATTCGACAACCGCCAGAAACCACGCACATGCCGTACTCAGGTCGAACAGGAAGCGGGGGACAACAAAGGGAGTGTTAGCGAATCAGCCCGTGTGGCTGATTTTCCCGGCGCCTCCTGGCGCTGGAGGCGCCAATGTATCGAGGAAGGCGCCGTGCGGTGGGGTTGAAACCAACTGCATGTAGCAGATTTCGTCAACCCTGCTTTCCCTGGGGGGACGAACAAATACGATATCGCTACTCCCTGGATCTCTCCAGGGGTGCGTTCTGGCCAGGCTTCCGAGGCGACTCCAGCAATGACGACGAGGTAAGAGTAGCGGAATCGGTAGATTGTCCTCCTTTGATTCCCGGTCCCCCTTTTGTCGGGCACGAGTTACACTGGAGGAGACAAAAACAGCTCAAACAAAAAACGTTCGATGTTCCTCGCGGATTTCCGAACGATTATGTTTGCGCAAATGTTTTTCTTTCGACACCACCTTTCGTGCCGAAGCATGCACCGTTCATGCCGAAGCATGCACCTTCCCTGCACCCTGTGGCCCGTGGTGGCAGATCAAAGGCCGCTCAGGAACCCTTTGAGGCCACTCTCCTGCGATCCCCGATCCTCCCCCCGTGAGTTGCCCCCCCCCCTTCCCGTCCGCCGAAGCTGGGGTCCCAGCGTCGATCCAAGAATCCACGCTGAGCCCCGAACATTTATGTTGATGCCCCTCTTGCTTCCTCGACCTTGGAGGCGGCCGGGGGGTCTGAACTGGGTGGGTCCCGAGAGAATCTGCACAAAAGGGGGAATCGAGCAAATCCGCCCAAACGGTCCCCGAACCCCGCCCGTGGTCCCCGTGGTGCAGCGTTTCACCCCGGAGGCCCGAAAACGACCCCCCGGAGGCCGAACCTCGCCCCCCTATGCCTGCTGGCGGGAAGCAAATGCTGGGCCACCTCAGACCCCCGGCCGGCTGCAACCTCGACCGACGTAGATTGGCGGCGCGCACAGGTGGGTAGGGGGAGGGGGGGAGGCTTCTTAGGAGGCCGTCTCTTAGATGGCAACGGCCTCACAACTGCAGAGAAGGCCCCCACTTTCTAAGAAGCAGGGGCGATCTTACTTCAGAAGCCTTCCCGCTTCCCCCTGTGAGCGTTTTCTTATTCGGCGTTTCGACAATGGGCGGAAAGGGGGGAGGGGGGTGTCTGGCTCCAGACCTCTGCTTAGTGCGACCGTTTGCAGCAGTGCGTCCTATGAGGGAGGCCCCACCTGCTCGAAACAGGCGCCAAAAACAGACAGGATCTACTCCGTGGGGGGGAAGGATGGGGGATGCGAGGGCCCGCGCCGATCGGCAAAACAGTGGATAAGAAAACAATCACCTGCTGCGCGTGGCCGAGTAAACGGTTGTACCGGCTGTTCTCCTTCGGCCTCAGCTGCTGCCCCAGCAAGGAGCACAGGCCGACGCCGACGAGGCCAGCCGCGTGGGGCCACGTCCACGACGGCGGCCGCGAGGAGAAGCGGGAGGCGCGCAGCGCGGGGCTCGCGGCGGCCTCAGTGTGGGGGGGGGGGAGGAGGCGGAGAAGGCGGAGGAGGAGGAGGCGGAGGAGGAGAAGGAAGAGGGAGAGGAGGAGGAGGACCAGTCTAAACCCAAGAGTCATCACCGATGTTGGAATAAACCCTCCCTCCAAGCTCCCTCCTCCTAGGACCCTATAACGTTTCATTTCCATGGATGGAACTGCATCGTTGGCCCAATTGAAGACCCTGAAACATGCCAAAACATTGTTCTCGGGATTCCAACGCCACGGATGAACCGGATTGTTGCGTCTTGACGATCCTGAATCGCACCGGAACGCAATTCCTAGGACTTCAGCACAGAATCAACGTAACTGTCGTGCCCGCATAACCCTGAATCCTTCCAAAACGTATTTTCTGGTACGTTGATGATGGGAATCCGTGAAACTCTTGCAAATTGTGTAAACGAATGTGCGCGGCGCTAAGGCGAGAGCCACATTTTGAAAAGAACCAGCCCTAAATCCGTCTAACTCTCGCAAATTGTTGAGACGAATGCGCGCGGCCGAATGCGCGCGGCGCTAAGGCGAGAGCCACATTCTGAACAGGAGTCGCTCAATCTGGAAACTCTTGTAAATTGTTGAAACGAATGTGCGCGGCGCTTAGGCGAAAACGACATGTTGAAAACGACCCGCCCTCAATCCGTGAAACTCTTGCATTCTTTACAACGAATGTGCGCCGCGCTAAGGCGACAGCCACATTTTGAAAACGACACGCCCTCCATCTGTGAAAATGTAAGCTTCAGAATCATAAATGCTGCAGATATCTCAGGCGAAACGCCTGGCCCGCCCTAAAAACTGGCCTCGGGGTGCGACAGGGAGAAATTATTTGCAAGGAGCAGGAATTTGAGGACGAGGAGGAGGATGAGGAGGAGGTGGAAGAGGAGGAGAAGGATGGGGAGGAGGATATTAGATTAGACGATGCGCTGCGCGCGGCTCCACAGGTCAAGCCTGGGAGTTCACCTCCCTGGTCAGCTTCGTGCGGCCAGGTGCGAGCCCTTTCTCGAGGGCCCTCATTAAGCCAACCCCGTGCGTATGGGGGCTAGCACTCTTGCACCAGCTTCCCGCCCTTCCTGTAGTGGTCCGTGCCAAGGCCACCGCATGTTGAGCAGGCAAAAATCAATTCCTTTCGAGAGCCCACCCCCACCTCCCACCACCGCATGGTGTGAGAGGCGTGCGCAGTCAGGCCCTGGCGGGTAGGAGCCACGGGGACAGGGGCCTGACAGGAGGGGTCTGCGACAGCTGGGGCACTGCAGGGCTCGCGAAGCCAAAGTACTATTGCCCCCCTTGGACCTCCTCTGGGGTTCAGACCCGCAGGATCGGCAGTGCCAGCGATGGCGGTCGCCGACGGGCCCAAGGGAGTGGAGCGTGTCAACCGTAGCCTGCTTCAAATCCAGTTTGGGCCGAGCGGTCCCCAGGGCCGAACACAACTCCGAAATAGGTCGAGAAGCAGGCATCTCTGCCAAAATAGCAACTAGGCGGCGGCGGATGTCTTTCGACTCCACCTCGAGCTCACGCAAGGTTTCAGCAACTCCTGTGGGGACTTGAGCCTCAGGAGACACCTGGTCTGCCAGTTGGTCGGCAAAAGTGTTAAAAGCGAAAAGGGACCTCACCTCAAGTGAGGCTTGCACAACATCAGCTTCCTTGGCGTGGCTCTCGATTTTCACAAACCTCAATGTCCCTGACCAAAGCAGGCCCCCTCACCAGGTTCCAGAGGTCGCGACTAGACTTAGGCTTCCAACAAACTTTGGTCCTGCGCCTGCAATAACCCTTCTGGACATACGCGCTGTCGGTGAGGTAAGTGAGACTCCTGCCTTGGGTAGCTCGGATAGCTTCAAGAAGCGCAAGAAGCCTGGAACGGTTGCTGCTCTGCCTGGGTCCTGGAACGGCACCCCCCGAAACCTCCAGACTTCTGCAACTCGGGTCGGCCACGCAATTAACGGAAACCACAGCCCAAGAGGTTCTGCGGAACAATAGGTATCCTGAAGAAGGGACACCTGAACCGTCCCCCGCCAGCCAAATCCGCCCTTCATCACGCAAGCCACACAGGAGCGGGTGGGGGGAAACTCCAGGATGCAACAGGGGGGCAACATGCAACGACGGGTCCAACCTGACAACAAGGTCGTCGGGGGCTCAGGGATAGAACTCCATGCTTTCTGGAATAACACCTCTCAGCCAGTAGCACGGGTGCTCCACGGCGCCTGCCACGGCCTGGTCAACTAGGTGTTGAGTGGCCTGGCAACGGGTAATATTGGCATTATCTGGGCAAATTCAGCAGCGGTGAAGGTCAGTCCCGGGCTCACGGCCACACCTCGGACACAGATTGGACTCGATATTCACCCCTGCTTGGGCCAACCTGTCTCTGGGCCAAAACCCAGCAGCGGCGACAATGCATTGCCCTGCCCTGAACGTGCTTGACCCCTTCTTGGCCATGGCCCTCAATGCCTTCAAAAGGTCGGAAGTCTCAGCTACGTTCTCCAGACCTCAACCGTTATAATGTTTCGGATCGGCCTTCCAGGCCGAAAGCCTCAGGGTTTCACGAAAAAACCTAGGAAAGGCTCCCAGTCGGAGTAAACCTCATCGTCAACAACCGAATCCGAAACAGCGTACCGATCCCCACAGGGATAGAGTCAAGCCCAAGGTCCCTGGGGGTCCCAACCTGCGGCGAGAAGTACAGCAATCGTGCCTGCCATCACGCCGTTCACCTTCCTCCAACGCTGCGAGGGGTCCGCGGGTGAGACCGACTGCAGGACCAGGGGCCAAGCCCTCTGCGCCCTACGCCTGAGGAGCCTGGAAGAAGACATGAGCTCAAACCAAAGACTGATAGTGCTGACTGGGAGCGAAATGGCAGGGTCCTGGTCCCCGTAGTCTAGGTGCAGCGCGGTAGTGAGACATCTCCCCTTCGCCCTGGAGGGGGAGGAGGAGGAGAAGAGGGCGGAGGAGGAGGAGGCTATGTGGGAGGAGGGGGAGGACGAGAAGGAGAAGGAGGAAGAGGAGGAGAAAGAGGAAGAGGAGGCGGAGAAGAAGGAAGAGGAGGCGGAGGAGGAGGAGGAGGAGGAGGGAGAGGAGGAGGCGGAAGGAGGAGGATGAGGAGGAGGGGGAGAAGGAGGAGGAGAAGGCGGCGGAGGAGGAGGAGGCAAAAGATGAGGAGAAGGAGGGGAAGGAGGAGGAGGTGAAGGAGTAGGAAGAGGTTATGTGGGAGGAGGGAAAGGACGAGAAGGAGGAGGAGGAGGAGGAGGAAGGACAGCGCGCTCCTCGATCCGCGGCAGCGCGCGCGCAGCGCAAAACGACGACGACCACGACGACGACGACCACGACGACGACGACCACCACTACCACCACCGCCACCACGACGATGACCACGACCACGACCACAACCATGACCACAACCCCGACGACGACGACGACGACGACCACAACTCGCCCCCTGGGGCGGCAAGCCAATACGGCCACGTCCGCGACCGCGAAGTACCACACCGGCACCTCCGCGCCTCAGACGGGGACGCGGGAGGCGCCGCCGTCACTATCGCTGTCGCCGTCGCTGTCGCTGTCGTGGTCGTGGTGGTCGTGGTGGTGGTGGTCGTCGTCGTCGTGATCGTCGTGGGCGTGGTTGTCGTGGTCGTCGTGGTCGAGGTCCTGGTCGCGGTCGTCGTCGTCGCTGCCATCGTCGCTGTCGTCGTAGTCGTCGTCGTGGTCGTGGTCGTCGTCGTCGCTGTCGTCGTCGCTGTCGTCGCTGTCGTTGTCGTGGTCGTGGTCTGATTGACCTTCCGCTGAGCTGGAGAACGAAGCAACCACATAGACATAAACTTCCAGAGCTCCGCGCGGATTTCTTGGATCGGCGCTAGGCGCCCCTGGCGGCGCCCCCTTCCCCGCCTTTAGCGCGCTCGTGCGCCAGGGAGAAGGTCCAGCGTCGAGTCAAGAAATCCGAGCGGAGCTCCGAAAGTCCATGTTTGTGTCGATGTTCCTTCTTCGACTCTCTTCACCACACTTGCGCAGCCTCGTCTTTAGCAGGGGGGTGTAGTCACCGAAACTGTGCTCGAAGATCTGCTCGAGTGTGACCGAAACCGGCGCTCGAAATGTGTCCGAACGCGCCAGAGCGTGACCGAAACTCTTGGTTCGAAACCAAGGCAACTTTAAATGTCGGTCGCACTACGTTCTCGGTCACACTGTCGGGCACGTTTTCGGTCATCGATCTTTGTTCGGTCACATACGTTTTCGGCTGATAGGCGTTGCAAGCAGAACGTGCAAAATAGATCTCCGAAAAGCACGCTATCCCTGTGAGGCGATCCTCCGCGACGCTTGCGAAGATCTCGTCGTGCTCGCTATCTCGCAGCCAGGTCTTCCTCGGTGCACGCTATCCCCCAAATGTGGGATAGCGTGTAATAAGCGAACCCGGCTGCGCCACATGGTATGTACGATAGTTTTGCATCGCCGACCGTGTAGACTGCCGCTTCACCACCCTGCCAGTGCACCTCGGACGTTGCACGGCGCCCTCTCCTGATCAGCAGGCGCGCACCCTCGCTCCTGATGCCCAGCGCCAAGGTCGCGCGCTGTACACTCAACAGTTGGTCTGCCCAAGTCTGGATCGGGTCGGGTCGAAGATTGGATCGGTCGACGAGGAGGGAGCACGCTCTTCGCTCTCGAGCCCTTCCCGCCTCCTCGGAGGCAAGAGAAGCAGCAGGAGGGAGGAGCAGGAAGGAGGAGGCGGGTCAAGGGAAAGAGGAGGGGGGAAGTCCTCCTCCTCCTCCTCTTTCTCCTCCTCTTCCTCCTCCTCCTCCTCCTCCTCCTCCTCCTTCTCCTCCTCTTACTCCTCCTCGTCCCCGTCCTCATTCTCCTCCTCGTCCTCTTTCTCCTCCTCCTCCTCCTCCTTTCCCTCCTCCTCCTCCTTGCTCCTCATCCCCCCGGGGAGGGCCGGGCCCCCGGCGGATCTTGGAGCGGGACATGACCTCGGGCAGGCGGCCGGCGCAGGGGCAAGAGGCGGCGGCAGGAGCCGGCGGCGCACCCCTCACTGCACTGGCCCTGCAGACGTGCTGCAGCGGATTTCTGCCTGGATGTCTGCCGGGGTATTTGCCCGAAGCGGCGCGAGCGAAAAACGAAGCGAGTTTCGCGTGGGTTCTTTTTGGTCTTCATTCCTGGCCAGGAATCCGCACGAAATTCACCTCGAGATCCGGAGCGAAATTCTTGAGGACACCCCGGGCCCACCCTATCGTTTTCCGAACGAAATCCGCTCTGCGATATTGGCGCCATGACACCCCCCCTCCACGCACCCAAAGAGGAAGGTCAACGTCCACCTTCAGGTGTCGGAAACAATTAAGCAACACTCACGCATGACATAATTATGGTGTGAACTCCCCCCCCTCCCGCCCGATGCAACGTTAGACTCGGATCTCCCGAGCTTGAGCGTCGAACCAGTGATGCGTATACGTACCAACTTTGAATTGCGGGGGGCAGGGGGAGTGTTGCTTAACAAAATCCCTCAACCGTCGTCCACCTTGCTCATCGTCAATTCGTGGACCATCCTCGCGAATCAGCGGCGGCCAGCGAGGCCAAGATCGGCGTCGACACATTCCCGCGACATCTTGGTCATATGAGGGGACAGGGCAGGGGCGGCACGAGCCCCGAGAGGGACACGTTGACCTGTCATCGGCGACACCATCGCCGATTGTGAAACCACCCATAACCAGGCGGGGCGGGATATCCGACCCCCATCGGCGGAGCGCGCCAGGGGCGGCGCTGATGGCGCCGCCAAGGGTCGCCACGCGCCGATGCAAGACGTCGCGCGGGCCTCCGAGCAGGAACGTCTGCACCGCTGTTCAGAGGTCAAACAATCCGCCTCCATAGTAACCACCCCGACACGCGAAATCGTAGAGTAAACGCGCCCAAAGAAGGAATCGAACAGGGCAGGGCTGTTCAATAAACGCCTGGGGCCGTTTAGCAAACGCTCATCATCGGGTCCGGGTGACCTTCCCTCCCTTGAGACTGTTACTCCCTCGAGGTATCCTGCGAAATCTTGGTCGTGGCCGTCGTGCTTCGTCTCGGCGGCGCGCCGCCACGTATTGAGAAGCCCCCGCCCTCTCGCGTCACCCTTCGGCGCGCCGCCGGTCTTCTCTCGATCGAGGCGAGCGGCAAGAGCCGCCGCGCGGACGTCTCGAAACTCGTGCCTGTGCCGCTGCTTCTTCTTGAAAGTATCTCGCGACATCTTGGCCGTGGCCATCATGCTCTTTCTCGGCGGCGCGCCGAGGGGGGAAGGCAAACAGGGCGGGCCTTCTCGGAGGGCTCAGAAGGCCCCTCCGGCCTTCTGCGAAGCTTCCTGGGTCTTCCCCGAAGCCCCCGAGGGCCACTCAGAAGGCCCGAGGGCTTGAGAAGCCCCCGCCCAGTTCCCCCCTCGGCGCATCGCCGACTCTAAGCCACCTGCG